GTATGTATGTATGTATGTATGTATATATACATATATATATTTTATGTGTGTGTGTGTGTATTTGTTCATGTGCACGATTTTTGATACACACTGATTATATACGTTTCTCAGCTTTGATCGATGCTGTATGCCCCCGTTGGACCCACAGGTATCAACAATCACATGGGCTGGGCATTTGGTTTGGGATTGGAGCGACTAGCCATGGTGCTGTACGATATCCCGGACATCCGTCTGTTCTGGAGTGAGGACGAGAGGTTTCTGAAACAATTTAAGGTGCGTATGGGACCGTTTCTCTTTCGTTGAGGTCAGCATGTGTGGTAAAAATAAACGTTGCCAGAATGTGTACATATTCATCGCTGTATGTATATATCCATGTGGGGGTTTGAAACCCTGACTACTGGTGTACTCTCCTCGTAGTCCAGATATTGTGTGACGTAGCCATCTCTAATGATCCGCAAGTAGGTAGAACTAATTTTATTATCCGTTCTATTATACCTGCTGCAGGTTCCAGTGAAGCTCACTATGCTAGCGAATAGTTTATATTAGTAGACATTAATGGGTCAGAGCCTAGTGCTGTAGGGTTTCTTATTGTTGTCACATCAATGATCGCAGTTTCACGGGCCAAGGCCAAAGTGTTAGCCCCTTCGTTCTAACCAGCCGACACCCGTCGAACAGTGTATTGATGATTCATCGATGACTCATCATGTATCTGTGGCATTGATTTTTATAAACGCGAGCGACAAAATGCTCACACCGCTTTTCTCATTTCGCCGACACCTACCGACTCTATTCATGACTCATCTTGTATCTGTGCCGTTTTGTCAGGCGAGCGACAAGAAGGTCACGCCGTTTACCCCCTTCAGCCGACACCCACCGAACAACATGGATGTTGCTTTCTGGCTGCCAGAGGACGGACAGTTTGTAGATAACGACTTTTTCGAGATGGTGCGCACAGAGGCGGGAGATCTCGTCGAGAAGATCACTATGGTAAGTATATATATATATGTGTGTGTGTGTGTGCATGTGTGTGTGTGTGAATGAATACGAATAGATGAATTTATGTATGTATATATATATATATATATATATATGTGTGTGTGTGTGTGTGTGTG